GTGTGGCAGGTATGTCGTGCTGTGTGGCAGGTATGTCGTGCTGTGTGGCAGGTATGTCGTGCTGTGTGGCAGGTATGTTGTGCGTACCTGTGCACGGTTGAAGAGGCCTGCTGGCAGGTAAGCGAACCTGTACAGCATTCGCGTCTGCTTCACCTCAGACTCTGCCTCCACGTCCGGCCAATCATACTGCATGAAAAACACACACGTGGTACGATGACGTCCATCCACCATTGTTGAGCAAACGCTGCGTTGCTGTTTTAATTATTACTATTATCATATACTATTATTATTATTATTATTATTATTTCAGACCTTATCTGATCATTTAAAACAGGATAAAATCTTATTCTAGATCATATGACATTGTAAGCGCGTAGTTTACATAATCTAGACTCCTACACTAAATTGCGCTGTTAGCATTTTATAAGTTTGAATCGATCGTTGCTAAGTAATTAGAACATTCTAGCTGTTGTTTAGGAATATGTTTTAGAGTAATTACGAGAGGCATCGACTATTGGCACGGGCTGCAGAGTGCTAAGTAAACTCGAGCAATTTTTAAGCTTCGTAAAACAGCAACAAGGAGGCAGCTGTATTATTGTCAGGTGGTTGCTAATAGTCACCACGTGGTTGGTAAAAACACACTTTCACAACAAAGATGAACAGGCAATGAAACAAAACATACACAATGCTAGGAATGATGACAAACAAGTGAATGATGCTATTGGGAGCTATGCGTTCGCGTTGCTGCTAATTAATGAGCTATTAATTATAACAGAACCATCCTTGCACGTCCAGTGGCTCTGGGTCGTGGAAAGGTGTGTGAAGTGGCGAGAGGTTGGCTGGAAGGATCCATGATATGCCCAAAGTCGCTTAGCCTCTAACTACAGCATATCATTTAACAGATAATGAAAACATTTATTCATAGCTTAGTTGCAAAATGGGGAACCGCTGGTCGCGCGTTCTTGCAGTCATATTTGGCCCCGGTTTGGTGGTGTGGTAGAATAGACATGGCTTAGCGTTTATGAAAGGGAGACGTGCCGCGCCTTCAGGAGTAGACTAGAGTAAGAGTAGTAGAACAGAGTAGAAGTTCAGAGAGTAGAGAATCGTCAGTTATCGCGCACGTAAGTTCTTCTCTTGGTTTGGGTACTGTCACTAACTATAGTTTTAAATTTTGCTTTTCCGTTGTATGAAGTGTAATTGGCTCTTTTGGCAGCACTGCTTCTTAATCTGTTGTACTAGCTGTCACTGTTAAGTAACTTTAGTAAATTTCATTCTTCGCTTTTGTAGCACAGTATTTCTCGACTTCTGTTTCATTTTGTCAGCTAGCACTCTCTACACAGGAAACTGCAATAGCACGTTTACAACATATTCACAATGAGCTAGAGATCTTCATCGTATTGCATTTCTTGTCGTTCCACGGTGGCCCTATTCGACCTACGTGTGGTCGGGCAGTCTTTACTGCAGTCGCTTCATCTCAGAGCATGGTTATAGACGGTGGTCAGCTTACCTCGGGCTCTGCCTCGGGCATCAGACAGGGCACCATGTTAACGGCTGCGTCGGGTAGAGGGTAGGTGAGGTCGAAGACTTCGGTGAGACGCAGCAACCACGGACGGAAGTCGCGCGGGTACTGCTTCCACACGCGGTCCATGTCCTTGTGATAGAACCTGCCATCCTGTCAGTATGTGCATAACGCGCGATTACAAACTATAGTCGTGTTGATTTATAGATATCTGTTGCACATGTTAGCAGTTATAGCATGTCAGCAGTTAGTCTGCCATACTGCAAAGAATTACTGCAATTTACCAGCACTGCTGATCATGTAACCCTGTAGCAGGAGCGAAGGGCTACACGGGTAGAGTTATGTTGGTGTCATAGTTCTGTAGCAGGAGCGAAGGGCTACATGCGTGTGGAGCTGGTCTCTGACCTTGATCGCGGAATCCTTGACAGAGACGACGCAAGACATGACATCGACGATCCACTGAGGGTTGATGACGACTCTATCACGCAGCAACTCGTTACTGAAGTGCTGCACCGAGCCAAGGTCGTGTAGAAACGTCACCGCCTGCACCAGCTGTAACACAGAGAGCTTGATAACAACACACGCAATGTGACCTTCAAGGTTAGTGGTTCGATAGGTCAGTGATTTAACAGAAAAGTGAAGCATTCGATTCAATGGGCAAGGAGCAAGCGTTCAATGAGAAGATCAAGGATATATTAGGAGTAAGGCTAAGCATTCCATGTGAAGGTCAAACATTCAATAGGGGTAGGGCTAGGCAAGCATTCAATGAGTCAAAGAAGGCATTCAAAAAGTCAAAGATATATAATGGGGGTAAGGCTAAACATTCCAAGTAAAGGTCAAGCTTTGAATGAGGTAAGAGTAAACATTCCAAGTAAAGGTCAAGCTTTGAATGAGGTAAGACTAAACATTCCAAGTAAAGGTCAAGCTTTGAATGAGGTAAGACTAAACATTCCAAGTAAAGGTCAATTAATTAAGGATATACGATGTTAAGGTGAAAGATTCAATAAGATGACGACACAGCTGTAAGCAGACATATTGGATCCCCCCCCCCTCATCAACCTCCTCACCTCACTGCTGTCGAATATTCCACTCTCCACGGCACAGGAAGCGGTTTCCTTCCAGGAGAGCACATCAGCTTGCTTCCTCTTCCTGTACAGAGAAAGCTTCCGATTAACAGAAACCTGTTACAACGGGAAAATGGGAATTTGGAATCGAAAAACTTATACAGATGCAGAAAAAAGTCAGTCGGCTTATTCGCGTATGTTTTGCAATGATGATTACAATTTTTTTGTTATTGTATTATTATTATTATTAGTGATGTCACGATCATCGATTATACTCGATCATCGGTTGAACAGTGGCTCAAACCAAGCGCTTAGTGATGTCACGATCATCGATTATACTCGATCATCGGTTGAACAGTGGCTCAAACCAAGCGCTTGGTGATCAAAATCCATAATCGATTTCATCAAAAAAAAAGAAGAAAAAAGAAATAAAACTTGAACAAGAAAACTTGGAAAAGTGATGAGAATCAGAGATATCATCGCTACTATACAAGTCAGGCCCGTAGCCAGCTTTCTATTGGGGGGGGGGTTCGTTTTAAATGTTGGCAATTTGCTCGGCAGGGGCGTGTACAGGATTTGTACCCGGGGGGGATCTGACCGTAACCCAAATTTTTTTCAAATTAGACCCCCTCAGATGCGTTTTCTGCGCGAGCAAGGGGGGGTCCGGACTCCCTGGACCCCCCCTGTACACGCCCCTGCTCGGGCGCGAAGCGACCAGGCGAGGGAGCCAAGCGACCAGGCGAGGGAGCCAAGCGACCAGGCGAGGGAGCCAAGCGACCANCGAAATTACAACCGATTGACAACACTAATTATTATTCTATAATTATTATTACATTTTCTTGTTTATTTATTATACACACGTCGATATTGATCCATTTTTCTCAAATCGGTTTGACAACTTATTTGTAGAGTCGAATGCGACTGATAGCTTATGTAACGAAATTTCATTCATAGTTGGAACTATGAATGTCAGCATTAATTAGTGAGTGATTAGCATGTCTACTGAATCCAGACTGTCAGGAGAGAACAGTGCAGTGTGTGGAAAGGTTGGCACTGATTAAAAGTCATCAAATAAATACATAAATATCAAGACAATTTATTTATTTATTAATTTGTAAATTATTCATTTATTTAGTCATTTAATAATTAATTAAATTATTATATATTTAGATATGCATACGTGTATTTAATTTTTATGTATGTATGATTTAAATCATGTCATCTGCATTATATTTATTCATGTGTGTATTTATATATTTATCAAGAGTACATAATAGAGATGGATCTCTATTATGTACTTTTGAGTATAGGTGGCAGCACAGTGCTCGTTATATTTACCCGGCGATGCGATTCTCGAACGTGAGCCACACGGCGGGGATCTTCTCTCCCATGTACTTCTCCCTCAGCGTAGTCTCCACGGTGGCCGCTATCAGCTCAGCTACTCCCTGCATGAGACGAGAGAAACCGCGACACAATGAAGGGGGCCAGCCACAGCGAACCACTGGAGCGTGGGGGTGTAGTGACGTGCGGTATTTTAGGTGTGTGCAGTGTGGTAGTAGGGTGTGGATGGTGTGTCGTGGGTGGGTATCATGTGGTGCTGTCGTGGTGTGGTGACTGGGTGTAGGGATGTGGTAGGTGGTGTGCGGTGTTGTGGGTAGGTACAGTGGGTGGTGTGCAGTGGTGTGCAGTGGTGTGGTGTTGTGCGTGGATGGGGTCAGCAGGTGTGGTGTTGTGCGTGGATGGGGTCTACAGGTGTGGTGTTGTGCGTGGATGGGGTCTACAGGTGTGGTGTTGTGGGTGGATGGGGTCTACAGGTGTGGTGTTGTGCGTGGATGGGGTCTGCAGGTGTGGTGTTGTGTGTGGATGGGGTCTAGCAGGTGTGGTGTTGTGCGTGGATGGGGTCTGCAGGTGTGGTGTTGTGCGTGGATGGGGTCTGCAGGTGTGGTGTTGTGCGTGGATGGGGTCTG